TATATATATATATATATATATATTAATGAATTTCAATTATTTATTTAAAAAATTTAAAAAAATATTTTAATCAGTTATGTTTCGATTACAATTAATTATATCATTTTTTCTATTTTTAGTTGGTATCTAACTATATAATTTTCACATTGCATTACGCTTGATCTCGTGCTCTTTAGGTCATAAATCTTTTATATTTAAATTTTGTCATGAGAAAAGTTGCACCCCTAATTCAACCCTCCTAGTCTAGGCAAGTATAGCACTTTCATTGTCCAAAAGCCAAACTAGTTATGACTACAAAAAAAAAAAACTTCTAACAAATATCAAACTTAACAGAGACATCAGGGAAGCTTTGTCTAAGACCTTCTATATATCTAGATCATATGTGTAATTAGAATAAAAATATTTCATAACGCTACAGTCAAATATACCATTAGCATACATCAAAACATAATTATAATGCTTATATAATACCTCAAAATCTATTTAACTTCTTTTAAGAGCCCGACCATACTTTTTCAAGTTTCTACTCACAACACTAATGTCATATGCTGTGTATATGCATATCATAACTTACAAACTACTTCTTATCATAGTGAGAAATGTTAAACTCCAAGCCTTCCATAGTAATCGATGCTTTTGCACGAAATCCATGATTACCACTTGTTTGGGTGGAGCCAACTATGCCACTATTTGACTCTGAAAGTTGTGAATTTTCTTGGCCAATGAGATTTTTGTGTGACGTCTTGTGATGGCCCCGAAGACCACAACGCCCACAATTATGGCTACTTTTGGCTTTCTTAGTGTTAATTTCTAAGAAATTTTAAATTTCATCTTCTTTCGTCTTCCTCGTAGCCTCAATGAGTTTGGTGGACTCACATATATGTCCTTGACCACTGCACTCTATTCATCATTATCTAGAAGTATTGAGATAGGGCCATCATAGGCCATTTTGTACCTGTAGTTTAGAGGGATTGAAAAATTTAATCCAAGAATCCCATAATGAGAGATGACACGCCCTATGTTTCTTGCTGCAATGAAAATATTTCTTTACGTTTTTCCAAAGATGTTGAATAATGCAAATTGTGTGCCCTGCATCTGAAAAAATTGGCTTTATTTCCTTCCCTAAGCTCTTCTCCATATCTAACATAAATGAGAGATGATGCAACTCAGAGCCAAATGAAGCTGACAAACACTCTAAGAACCATTTTCAACTTCCTTTAGATTCAAATACAACAATTGCAAAAGCTAAAGAGAAGATTCCATTGTTACCATCTAATGAAAATGCAGAGAACAGAACACCCAAGTGCTTCAACTTTAAGTGGCAAGCATCAAGTTAGATTAAATGCCTGCAACTAGCTTAAAATTCATCAATACCAACTTCAAAACTAACATAGAACCTCTTAAAAGAGCAATCATGTTTGTTGCAGCTATATGTGATGTACGAGCCATACTTTCTTTTAACCAATTATGTCTGTGATGTAGGCACTTATCTATAACTCTTAGCAACAAAACCAAAAATAGTAGAACGAACCTCTTCTCTGGATCTCCAAAATTTCATGCATGGTAGTGAAATCCCATACATGCTCTCTAAATTTTTAGCTGATGTCTTTTGGGGAGATATCAGGATACTTTCCAACACTTTCTTCTATTTGTTGAGCTACTCAAGATGAAGTTGCTTGTTTGTTGCCCGCTCTATTAATAATAGGGCACACGTGTGTTGAACATAGTTTTTTAATCTCAAAATACTGCATATCAAATACTCTCTAGGGACAATCTCTCTGATAACAAACACCTTTCGACTTCTATTACTGCATTGAAGTTTCAACCCAAAATTATTCTTTATTGCATGAGATCAGAGTGCTTGTGTGAAGGTGATAAAGTCATGAAATTGTGCACCACTTAAAAAATCAATTGTATTACCAAGCTCAATAACACCGTGAATATTGTCGGATGGATTGCGAGAACTAACCATTACTGCGTCACAAAGATTAACATAGGAGTACACTATAACATCTCCTCTATCTTGAGTAATTACAACAACTTCGACTCGATCACTCCCCATAGTACTTGTGATCATCTCCATAACATCAACATCACTTACAAGTAATGTATATTGTTTTGGTGAAATGTCCTTGATATGATAAAATAACTCGAATTGATGTCCTTCAAGCCAAGCACAAATCACCACTATCTCATGTTGTAATAAAGAGATTCATCAGACTTCTCCAAAGTTTGATGATTTTTTGCTTTCGTCAATTGTATTTCTTCCTTTCCTCATTTAACTTGCAATCAATGCCCACCAAATTTAATAGTTACACATAAATAATCATTTAGATCTGCCATTGAACCTATCTCTGAACTTTAATCACACAAGATTGTATGGTCACAAAAACTCTATTAGAAAATTATAAGCAAATAACTCATGATACATTAATATGCACTTATTACAATCAGTTTACCACCATACATAAAATTAAACTAACATAGAACCTTCTGAGATTTGGGTTCATTTGATTTCCTTGGCATGACCAAACTAAAATCTAAAAAAATTAGAAATTAAGAAAAAAAAAAAACATTCATTGAAGTAAAGAAGTTGGAATAAGAAGTTGGAATACAAAACTAAGCTCTTAGAAAATCAAGTACTCTATACAAATGGAAGAAAGGCATCAAGAAGGAAAATCGGAAGGAAACCTACATATAGCAGTATTAACCAACCAAATAAATCAATGATGAGGTCTTCATTTAGTAGAATTTTATGGAAGAATCTACAGCTTGACCTGATTTTCCACCACTTAAGCATCATAAAAAGTTTTAGGAAGATCAACAAATGGAAGAAAGACATCAATATGGAAAATCAGAAGGAAACCTACATATAGCAGCATTAACTAACCAAACAAATCAATGATGAGATCTTCATTTAGCAGAATTTCTTGAAAGAATCGACAACTTGACCTGATTTTCTACACATAAGCATCGTAAAAAGTGTTATAACAAGATTACCTTAAGGGAAAATTTCTAGGATGATAAAATAGAATGTATGGGCGCCCGTCCGCAGGTTAAAATATAAAACAAAATGGTTTTACTGATTTATGGAATGATAATGCATTTAAATCATGCCTTAACTAATGAAAAATCTTCATTTATACATATATACATCCATATATACATATATATATATATATATATATATATATATATGTACATGAAAACTAAAAATTTTTGTTATGAACATAAAATTAGTATTTAAGATGGGCCCCAATTACAAAATTTTTAAGAAGTTTACATATATACACAGACATTGCACTCTTCAAAATGTCATTGAATATATATAAAAAAACTTGAAAAAAAAAGGAATACCATGCCAAAAATAAGTTTCATGTCACATGTGCCTAAATGGGGCAACTCATCGAACACCTTGTGTTCGTTTATGTAAATATATAACATAACATATAGACAAGTACATATATTTCTGTATATACCTAATAAGGTTTCTGACTGCATAGAAATTCTCACCGAAACAAGTTCTAGATATGAACAGAAAGATAGACGCGAACAATTCCACTACCAGGTTGGAGCCGCAACTGTAGCAGGCTGCGGTCTTGGGACCGAGACAGCTAGTCGTTGAGGAAATAGCACGTGTTGGAGCAGATTGGAGGGTCCAGTTGAGGGACCGAGTCGTAAGAAGAGGAACTAGGGCGTGGAAGCTCGTTCCCGCGCGAAATCTTTGACGGAGCAGTAACCGAAAAGGAAGGGGTACGGAATTTATGTTTATAAAAGGGGAATCGCTGTTTTAAGTGTGGAATATGTAATTAATGAATTAATTTGGAAATGTGAATGTGATGATTTAAATACATAAAGAGTTGAATGTGATGATTCCCCTTTTATACCATAGCAGCTTTGTCCTTGGTGTCAATGGAAGGAGGCGATCTGTTTCAATGCCCTACTGAGGTCCTCCGCAAAATAAATGGTTAGAATCCACCTTGTCTTTCTTTCAATTTCATATCTCGGCTTCTGCGATCACCGATGTTATCATTCTTTTTGCAGGATTCATCCGTGCTCTGGTTGTGGACCTCGGCCACAATCAGCGCCTTTCGATCGCTGTAGATCGCCACCGGATCTTCTGCTCCGATTCGTCCGGAAACTGGTCATTCTCTCAAGCCACTCTTCTTCTTACTTTTGCGAAATACTTAATTTTGTCAATAGAAGAAAATCAACTCTCTGGATTAATTTGGAAATCCAGGTTTATTTGCAATTTGGATTTGCACACGGACTCGTCAAACGGTCGAGAATCGCTATTTTAAGCTCTTTTGTTTCTCTATCGGACAAACTCTACCATTATTTTGCGACGTTATTTGATCAATGAGAGTTCAGTTATCTTCTCTAAATTGTATATCATTAGATTTGTTCTTGTTGATTGAGAACAATGCCGTTGTGAGCTAATGTTGTGTGTATGACTTGGAAGGGCGATCCTGTCCTTGATAGCCTCCATCTGTGGATTTCTAAGCAATTTTGAAGAGATATGTGCTATTTTCTACTTTAGCATTCTATTGATGTTGCAGTCTCTAGACATCATATCTCTTAAATCAGAAATGTAGGACGGACTATATAATACAATTCTAATTAAATCTTTTATGGCTAATAAAATATATTACAAGGAGTATAAACTCGCATAAGCTTGGCGCCGTACTATATCCTTCTTTGCCAGTAAGCGGGAAGATATTATATAACAATGAATAAGATCCAATTGCTTTGAAAGAGTGGAAGAAGTGTCATATTGATAACATAATCACTTGTATGGTTCTCTAGATTGACAATAAGGGTAACTTTTGTATTATGGGTTGACCCACAAATACATTATTTGTAATTTTAATGTATGCCCGTGAATTTTCAGTCTTTATTTGGAAGGTTGTACAAATACCAACTATTTTTTCTTCAACTACAAATTGTTTGAACATTCTTTTGTGGAATTTGAAACACGAGTAATGATCAAGCTTGAGGCTTTGATGATTGAAGTTGAATCTCTGGGAAAGGAGACCGAAGAAAGGAGGGACGAACCCTTGCGTGAGTACAACAAATTTACTTGTCTTAGTAGTGAAAGAAAATTTGCCTCTTAAAACCACCCATCAGATGGAAAAACCATGAATGAGCAAAATCATGGAGCAACGATTGTGATACAATTGAGTTGCTTTTCACTAGTTGATTTCTGATGCTCTCCAAATTTGAATAATGATTAGAGATTGACTTCATTCCTTTGAAGCCAACATCTACCATGCTAGAAACAAAAATAATCATGAATAATTATGGGGGTATCATATCCTCCTAGATGGCATAAGTGAATTTGTACCATACTTGTTCAATCTAAAGGAATAAGTGTATAATATTAGAGACACTTGTTATTTCGGCTAATTGATATTCTAGTATCCTAGTTCAACTATCCTTGCTGCTTACATTTCTTCTTGACTGCTTGGTCTATGATGCATATTTGGCTTATTGCTTTGTTAATCAGCATTACAGAATTCAACCATCAATGGTTTGCTTGACTTAAATTTTATGGATCTGGGTTATAATTTTAACTGGTATTCTTTCCAAGATAAATTTTTCCTAGATATTAAAGATGAATTTGATATCTGATTCATTGAAGGTCTTAAAAGATTGCTTGCCTTTTATTTTAATTGGAATACCTTCTGCAGTAGATCTTATTCAGATGATGAAATATGACAAATGTATGATCTGTTTTAAGTTCATGATCATAGAAGGTTTGATTTATTGGGCCGAAGCAATGAACTTCTACATTCTAAATTCAATATTCTCCCGTGAGGCTTTTAACTTGGTATTATTCATCTAGAAGACCAAAGGATTTTTAGTCTGAGTATATTCTATACAAGATGTAGATTTCATTTATATACATGAGGTTATTATTTTCCACTTTGAAATGTTATTATCATTTATCTTATTTATTCATTTTATTATTGGTTTGGTGTAGCTTTTGCAGCTCTGACTTACCATATGGTATTGAAATAGTATCACTCGAGAAGGAAGGGCATGCATGCAGATTGTGTATGCTAATTTTACTATACTGAGTCCATTACTGCTTCTGCTTCTTTTTAGTTTTTCGTTTAGCCAATCTCTTTGAAAACGCAAGATTAAGGCCTTGCTGATTGTGGAACTTCCATTTCCATATGATATGTGGCGGCCAAAGTCTGCTTCTATAGCTGACCTCGATGATTTTCTCTTAAGACATTCTTCTTAGGGTTCTTATGATAATACAACAACTGCTCCTTGAAAACAAACATGGATCGAAAAGGGACATATACTACATGGAACAATCTATCTTCACTGGTAATATTGCTATCTTTTGCAAATGTAATCAGTCAAGACAGTTTCTGACATATTATAATGGTCATTTAATTTTGAAGTAATACGTTTTATTCTCTAAACTTCAGCTGTCTAGTTAGACTACAGTTTAAATTATATTCTTAATGCTTTATGGTTTGCTATTATCTTTTGTTGCTTGCTAAGAGATTCTCAGCAAATGCAATGTCATGAATTATTTTGTTAATGCTATATGGTTTGCTATTCGCATTTAATGCAATTGATTTTTAAAAAAAAAACATGACATAGAAATAGTGCTTTTAGAGTACAAGTCATCCATTTATTCATCCAGTTTGAGTGTTTGACCAAAAATCAATTCTTCATAAACAGTAATCAAACTAGATCAAGAAGTCATTCTTTGGTTGCAGATTAACTTCAATAATCTCAATTTTGCATTTGGTCGTAGTAACATCGAAATTAATTAGGTAGAGGATATTTATTTTTCATAGAAAATGATAATACTCTATCACTATATATATATATATACACGTACACATAAAAAAATTCAGGATGGTGGGTGGCGGCGCAGGAAGCTCTGCTAGGGTTTTCCTCATGGAGGAGCTCCACTGCTGGCTGGTAAGTTGGAGGTGGAGGAGTGGTTCTTACTCTTTGTGAACTGGTTTGGAGCCTCTATTAGTTTGGGCTCCCTGTTTGTTGCGATTTCTGGTTTCCCGCGTTCTTTATTTTTGAATTTGGTAGCACTGTTCCATTGGTTTTTCTGTTCTTCAGGTTTTGGGTCTTCTGTTTCTCGGCTGAGTTTTTGCACTTCATTGCTGCTTCCTGATCCTGGGGGTTTTAGGGGACTTTGTCTGGTCCTCATGGCAGCTGATCTTTTAGCTGCTGACCCTAACTTTCTGGGAAAACAGTCCTATGCTGCTGTGACTGGGTTGGAGCCAAGTGGTATTTCTCTTGGTGACAAATTGGTGTTTCCTCAAGTTTATTATGATGCCATGGAGGGTAAAGTTGACTGTGATTTGATTTTGAAGGGGAGTAAGAAGTCTGAAAAACATGCAATCATCTTCTCCCGGCAGGAAGTCAATTGTCTGGCAGATACTTACAAATTTACTCTCATTGGTAACTTCATTATGGCTCACCCAAAGATGGATTCCATCAGGAAAACATTTGATGACATGAAGCTAGTGTGGAATTGGAAAATTGGCCTTTTTGATGGAAGGCATGTAATGATACATCTAACTAAAGAAGAAGATTATGCTAAGGTATTTTCAAAGAAGTTCATACAGATTATAACAGCTCCATGAATCTACTAAAGTGGACTTCGGCTTTTGATCCAAAGAAAGAACTTCCCATCATACCTATTTGGTACAAACTTCCTAATCTGAAGCTTCATTTCTTTAATCATAGAGTGTTGATCTCTATTGGTGCCTTACTTGGCCATCCAATGAAATTAAACATATCAACATTTAATCTATTAAGACCTTTAGTAGCCAAAATCTTCATTAAGAGAGATATCACTTTGCCTCTTATTGAGGAGGTATGGCTGGGGATAACTCATGATGTGTATTGGCTACCCATTATAATGGAACATCAGCCTCATTATTGCAACCACTGTAGTATGTTTGGACATACTCAGGATCACTGTTATAGATTGCATCCAAATTTAAAACCATCAACAAAACCAGGGAAAGGAACCACATCGCCAGAAAATCATATGGAGAGTTTGGAGAAAGATAAAAATGAGACACAATTTAATGTGCATACTGTTGAGTTGGAAAACCCAAAGGAGGCACTGGAAAGAGATCACAATAATGTTCACAGTGGGGTGAAATCTGCTAAACTGGAAGTTGACCATATAGATATTGATCCTGACCCAGTAGCTGATGATACACCACAACAAAATGAAACACAACTACAAGTAGCACCTGTACCCCCAACTCCAGATATAATCCGGGAATTGCAACAGATCATGGAAGAGGAATGACAGACACAGAAGGGAAGAAAAAAGAAAAAAACTCCTGGGGATGCCTAGGATGACACTTACATTGTGGAGGCAGGAAGTTCTTACTCAACTAGAAGGGAATATCTCACTAGGCTTACTAGGGGGAGAGCAAAATCCTTTCATCATGATTAATTTACTCTGCTGGAACATAAGGGGGATTGTCCACCCCCTTTCTCTAAAAAGTCTGCAATTTCTAAATAGAAAACATAAACTATGTTGTTTGGCCATTTTGAAGTGGACTCCTCTATCCTACTGGACTATGTTAGAGGGAGTAGTACTCCCCCTTGGCACATTCTTCAGTGGACAAAACAGATCAATTCCATGTGTGATGAATTAAGAGTCACTTTAAAATTCATATATATAGAGAAGGTAATAGGCCAGCTAATTTTTTAGCAAAGAGGGGAGGGGAATCACATGATGTAATTGTGTCCTCCTTACCAACCCCCTCTCCCAGTTTTTTGCTCCAAGGGGACTTGGTCAAAGCCCCGTCACCTTAGAGTTGTAACTTCTATTTGAGCTTAATATAATCCTAATTTTGCAACAATATATATATATATATATATATATATATATATATGAAAAGCCCAAGGGCTAATTTTATTGAATTAGAAAAGGATACATAAAAGTTGTATGAGAAGAGCCCAAATATACACCCTACCCATACGATATAAGAACATAAAAACTCCAACTAAAGGTACAAATAGACTTAATAAAATTAAAAAACAAATTTAAAACATACATAAAATAGTAGCTAGGGACGAGCCAGTTTAGTCCTGTCTCTTCCTCTAGTTTTAGGAGCAGAACCAGATAACAAACTTACCAGATGAACCAGATAACAAACTTTGAAGAGTCGTGCCATTGCCAGGAGTCACCAAAGTATTATCCATTAAATTTCCAAGCTGAAGTGAGCCCCCAGGCTTCTTCTTCCGCCGAGACGTGTAAACCTGTCATTCTTCTTCTGAAAACTGACCTCATGTGATCTTCTTCATCTGAAAACTGACTCATGTGATCCTCGATCTGATTTGATGTTAGAACCGCAGTAGGAGGAGAGACAGTCGTTGCCACTGCGATAGGTTCCAGTGTATGTGAAGTGTGAATTGTTACCTCTGCACCTGATACTTCCTAAATAGGAGCTGTGGGACTATCCTGATTTTCAGTTCAAAAATTATCCATTGTAGTTCAAAAGGGTTTTTTATGAAATTTTTAGGGCAAGAAGAAAACCAAAGTAGGTATAAAAACCTTGTAGGCATAACATGCAGGTTGATATTGGAGGAAATGATAAGACACATTTATCTAAAGCGCAATTATTCTGAAAATATTTTTAAAGAGGGTGTTACAAGAATAAAATAACACATTTTTAGCTCTCACATGAATGTGGCACTGTGTGCCAAAGTGTTTAAGTGATGAAACTAGAGATCCATACATATATGAACAACACGCCAATGCAAAGTATTTAGCATGACGCAATTTGATAATAAAGTATAATTTTTTTTTACTATGGTGACGGGCCTAGTGGTAAAGTTGCCTTATTTTCTTTGCCAAAAATATCATGCATATGTGCATTATGGCCAATGAATCAATACATGATAAATGTAGAGAGTGATAGCGATGATGATGTGATGGTCTCCCATAAGATGTCTTCTGAAAGTGCTAGTGAAAGGAGTAGTCATGTCTTTATGGATATTGTAACATTCTTTTATGAAAATATTATTCCATTTAACGTGGCAACCTTCCTTTTTTATTTTAATATGATCCATGCTTTAAGTTCTTACAGTTGAAGCTAGAAATTGTCATCTATTTATGATTTGAGAACTTGGTTATTAAACGAGCTGAATAACATTGAAAAACTCATTGAGGACTAAAGTGAGGATCATATCTGATGGTTGATTAGATATCAAGAATTGGAGGAAATGCGAGATACATTTATTCAAAGTGTAATTATTGTGAAATATTGTTAGAGAGTGTTACAAGAATGAAAGAACATCTTGCTGCTTTCACAAGAATGTTGCACCATGTGTCAAGGTGCCTAACCGATGAAACAGGAGATCCATGCATATATATATGAACAACATAACAATGCTAAATTAGCACTACAATTTGATGATAAAAAATATCGTTTTTCTTATTATGGAGGTGGGCCTAGTGGTAAAATGTCTTTTTACCACAAATATCAAGAGGGCCAATGAATCAACTCATGGTAAATTTGGAGTGACAGAGATGATGATGTGCCGGTATCCCATAAGATGTCTTCTGAAAATGCTAGTGAAAAGCGCAAGCATGTCTGTATGAATATTGCAATGTTCTTCTATGAATATATTATTCCATTCAATGTGACAACCTTCCTTTTTTTTTTAATATGATTTGTTCTTTAGGTGGTTGAAATTTGAAACTGTCATCTATTTATGATTTGAGAACTTTATTAAAGAAGCTAAATAGCATTGAACAAATCATTGAGGATGCCTATAATATTATTTTCTTAAAATCTCTTAAAGCATTAGATAATGTCATTGATGTGGAGTACAATTTTAGATGTCTTGATGAAGTTATAGAGGAGATAGAAGAACGCCTAGTAATATAAGTTGTTATTGATAATCGTAAGGTTGGTAATGCTTTTAAGGCAGCTGTAAAAAATTTATAAAGAAGAGAACTTATGTATTAGACACTATATGCAACATGCTACACAGATTTAATTTTAGAGAAACTTGATGAATTGCCTTAGCATAAGAATGTCTTGAGCATAGCAACAAAGATAATAAGGTTTATCTACAATATTCATTTACGTTGGCTTTAATGAAAAAATTCTTCTAGAAAGGAACTCTAATGGCCAGTTACAACTAGATTTGCTACAACCTACTTGACCCTAAAATTTATATTGGAAGAAAGACACCCTTTGAAATCTATGTTCACTTTCAGACAATAGCTTGCTTGTGCTTGGGAAAATATGCTGAAGGAAAAGAAGTTAAGTTGATTCAAATAAATTATAGATTTTGGTTAAATTTTAACTAGCAAT